CCCTTGCTCCTCTCCCTCCTCGCCTGCCACGTGTGTTCTGTCTCACATCACTCCCCTCCCGTCGGTTGTCCCGGTTCATGAGTCGGCTGACTCAGGTGGCCCCACGGTGCCGTTCTCCCCACCTGTCTTTGCCCCGGCGTCTCTTGCTCCGCTGACACAGCAGACGCCGCCGTCGTTGCCGTCGCAGCAGCCTCAGTCGCCGCCGCTGCCGACGCAGCCGCCGTCGGGGCCCGCGAGATCTGGGGGTGCGGGCATTGAGGAGGGTGCTAGTCCTGGGGTTACTGTCGTGGCTTGTCCCGGCAGTCTTGGGGGTGGAATTGGTGCTGGAGAGGGTTCTCGTTCTGGGGTTGCTGGTTCTGGGGGTGCTAGTCCTGGGGTTACTGTCGTGGCTTGTCCCGGCGGTCCTGGGGGTGGCACGAGTGCCGGCGAGGGTTCTCGTTCTGGGGGTGCAGTTGTGGAGCGTCCCGGAGGGAGCCGTGGTGCAGCTGGAGGTTCTGGTGTCGGAGCAAGGCAGCAGCAGCAGCAACAGCAGCAGTCACCGCCGGTGTCCGCCCTTCGCTTCCTTGGTCTTCCCTCCCCTGGCCACCTGCCGCCGCCTCCCCTGCCCATATATGGCCCTGTGTTTCCGCCGCCGGACTCGTCTCCGACTCTTGTGTCTCCTCATGTGTCTCTTGACCCGACGCCTCCGTCCCACTTCAGGTCTCGCCGTCCCTCTCGTCCTCGTCCTATCTCTCCTATTTAGTGCTCTCACTCTATGTTAACACATTCCCCAGCGTCTCGTCCTCCCCTCCTCCCGTCGCCTCCTCCGTCGTCACTTGTTGTTGCTCCGCCTCCTCTTGCTGACTACCTTCGTGCTGCTAGTCCTCTTGTTCCTCATGTTCTTGCCTCCCTCGTTACCGACTCGTCTGTTCCTGTCTCGAGTCTAGACGCTCTTGTCGCTGCCGTCGCAGTTCTTTCTGTCATCTGCAGACCCCTCGCTCTTCGTTCGTGCTGACCAGATCCCTTTCTACATCCTTTTCTACGTACTGTAGACGACCTGGTCTTTGCCATCGCAGACAGAGATGCACTGGCCTCTGTAAAGGCTGAGCTGCTGAGGAGACACACCTGCACCGACCTAGGAGATCTGTGTCGCTACCCTTGGCCTGAGATCTCCAGGGATAGAGCAGCGCGCACCATCACTCTCTCACAGTCACACTTGGTGCGCTAGGTCCTTCAGAGGTTCGGTCTTCAGTTCTCCTCCACACAGCCCACACCTCTGCCAGTAGATCACATGCACTCGGCTCTAGTCCCTGAGGAGTCTGTAAAGCCTAGTGGTGCGTACGTAGAGCTGGTGGGCTGCCTTACGTACCTGATGACTTGCACTCGTCCAGATCTCGCATACCCTCTCAGCATCTTGGCTCCCTTTGTGGCCACGGGCAGACACCGACCACAGCACTGATCGGCCGCTAAGAAGGTTTTGCGTGATCTAGCAAGCAGATCGGGCATGGGGCTAGTGCTAGGAGGACGCAGGCCAGTGGTCCCTACAGGGCACACAGACGCTTCGTGGGCGGAGGACGCTGAGAGGCTCAGGTCCTCACTGTGAGAGTACGACCCCGTTACACCACTTGGCCTTTTCTTATTTCCTTCCCTTTTCATTCCTCTTTTTACCGCATCTCATTTGGTTTCCTATTCTTCCTTTTCCATTAACCTTTGGTTTATCCTGCTATTATAAGTATATCATCGACCAGGCTTGGGATGTATTGGTGCGCTATATCTAGCGTAATCCTGCCGTAATCCCTTAAAGCCAATAGCCTCGCGTGGCTAAACGCAGGGTGATTCTATCTTCTAGAAGGGTCTATTTCTTTAGGATAAGATAAACCTGGTTACCTGATGTACTCTGGAAGTATAAAAGCGCCTTGTACTGATCGATAGTGCAACTTTTCCTCGACACATTCGATCCTGTGACACTTGGTATCAGAGCTTTTCTCACTCGGCCGCGCTCAGCTAAGCAGCAGCAGCGGGGATCCTGCCTCGAAAAACCGCCGGGGGCGACCAATTCGACGCCGATTCTGGTAAGCACCAGCTCCGCGATTTTCGAATTACCCCCTCCGTGCGTGTTTTGAACAGGATGGCAACCTTCGACAACGCCGAGGTTACCCAGCAGCTCTTCGCGCGCATCGCAGCCCTTCAGGAGGAAATGCGAGCGGATCGCGAAGCGTGGCGAAACCAGTTCGAGCGAGTAACTCGACTCGCCGGAGCGCAGCACGAGATGACAACGGCGACGACGCAGCAGTCGCAGCAGTTTCTCGAGGCTCCGAAACCGCGCCCACCTGAGCCGTTCGATCCGAGCGATCGAAACTCCGACGCCCGCAGATGGATCGCCGGGATGGAGATCTACTTCGCAGCCGTCGGATGGAGCTCGCCAGTCTGGGACGGTCAATGCGTACGACTCGCGGCGACACTGATGCGAGGGCCGGCACTCGAGTGGATTGGCGGCAACAGTACCTTCATCCACGGTGAAGCCACGTGGCAGCAGTTCCGCGCCGACCTGCTGAAACGATTCGAGCCGATAAATTCAGGTTTCCTTGCCCGCGAAAAAATTCATCGCCATCAACAGTTCGGGAGTGTAGCACAGTACACGCAGCAGATGGAAGAATTTTATAACAGAATTCCCGACCTGACCGAAGGGGAAAAAGTGCAATCGTACCTCGCAGGGCTGAAGACCGAAGTCAAACGACAGGTAGCAGCGTCAAACTACGCGAGCTACAGTGACGTCGTTTCGGCCGCGGAGCGCTTCGACATGGTCAACGCCGGAACACGACGGACGCACGTCGGCAGTACGCGACAGGGCGACCGCTCGGCTCACCCCACGTTCGCCGACCCAATGGAAGTCGACAGATTCGAGGGGCGGCCACGTCCGAAAAACACCAACTACACGTGTGATTTTTGCGGGGTGCCGGGCCACCGAATCTTCGACTGCAACAAAATGAAGGCCGCACGCGCAGAGTATCGGGCACGCAACAGTGGCGGAAATCTTTCGGCCAATCAGAAGACAAAAAACGGGAGTCGCCAGTGATTGCGGATCTAGCTGGCGAAAATAAAAAGATCCGAAAGCGGCCGCGGGATTCCGGAAAAATCAACTTCGACGAAGCTTATTCGACGCGAGAAGGAGGAAATGATGGGGGAAAATCTCCACCCCACGACCAGTCTTCGCCAGGGAAAATCGCCGAGGAAAAATACGACTCCGCGAAAAAAGACTCTGCCGAGACAGGGAAACTCCTTGAAGACCCAAGAAATTATAAGAATTCGTTAAAGTTATCTTATAAAGATGCTTTAATGAAAACTTATGATGTTCGAGGGGCTAGAGCCTTGGAGAAATTTCGGGAGGGACTCCAAAAGAAGCAGACAGCTGTGGAGATTATACCGATACCGGACAACTTGGGGACCAAATTAAGGAGTGTGGAAAGAAGCCGACCTTTCCACGGAGTCAACGTCCTCTCCCGACACCAGCCCACAACGACTACCCGCTCCCCAGGGAAGACGTCGGTGGAGCTGAAGCAGCTCAAGAGGAAGCTGGGGGTCTACAAGAAGCTGCACAAACCCCGAACTCCTCCTACGGATGCATCCAGTTCTTCGGCATCAGTGACGCGCACAGTCGTCAGGGAAACTCCGGGCCCTGGAGAAGAGCCGTTCTCCAAGCAGCCTCGGCCAGCTGCCAGCTCAGGAGTAGTCAGCAACACAAAGGTGTGTACGGAGTATTGGGATGTACCCTATGACCCAATCAATGAAACTGTCTTTGGGTACTCCGAGCAACGACTGCCCCTCGTGCTCGAGGTCATCTGCAAAGGACGACGCCTCCAAGCACTTGTGGACAGCGGAGCGTCACACACCGTCTGCGACAAGGCAGTGATCGACCGACTTCGGGAAGAGTACAAGCCTTCAGGATTCTCTGCAACGATGGTGGACGGCAGCAAGTTACCAGTACACGGCGAAGCAGTGCTACACCTACAAATTGGACCACTGCGCTGGAGACCTGCACTCCCCATCACCAACATCAAAGGGCTTGACTTGATCTTCGGGCGAGACTTCCTGAAAAAAATTCAACCCCGAGATCAACTGGGTGAACCGCACCGCAAGCATCTACAACAATGGACGGAGAATACAGCTACCCAACTGGGACGATACTGGAGATATCCCAGTGGAGACACTCGCACGATTCGAGAAGGACGTGAAGCGGACCGACACCGGGTTCTTGGCGATAGCAACAGAGGAGGAGAATGACGGAGAGAAAGCCTCGGAAACTCCAGAAAAAATCAAGGAATTACTGAAGGAGTTCCAAGACATTCTTCCTGACGATCTTCCGAACGAGCTACCGCCATACCGAACGCATCAATACGAGATCGTGGAGGAACCGGGTTCGAAGCCGACCTTCCGAGCACCATATCGGCTCAGCCCTACGGAGCTGACTGACATGAAAAAACAGATCGAGTATCTCCTAGCCAAAGGACTCATCTGGCCATCCACTTCGCCGTACGGTGCCCCAGTACTCTTCACACCGAAACCGGACGGAAGCCTGCGCATGTGCATCGACTACCGAGCTCTTAACAAGCAGACCATCAAGAATAAATATCCGATACCGCGAATCGATGACCTGCTTGACCAGCTTCGGGGAGCTACGATATTTTCCAAACTGGATCTGCGGTCCGGATACTGGCAGATACGGATGGCGGACAACTCTATCCACAAAACTGCTTTTTGAACTCGGTACGGATCGTACGAGTATTTGGTCATGCCGTTCGGACTCACCAACGCGCCGGCAACGTTCCAAGCCGAAATGAACCACATTCTACGACCACTTCTGGACGAATGCGTGGTGGTGTACCTGGACGACATACTCATCTACTCGCGCGACATGAAGCAGCACGTCGAACACCTGCGACGCGTCTTCGAAATTCTTCGACGGGAACGATTCTACGTCAAACTGTCCAAGAGCGAATTCGCCCTTGAAAAGGTCCAGTTCCTAGGACATATGGTGAGCGCTCAAGGAGTTCACGTCGACCCCAAGAAAATCGAAGCCGTACGTACGTGGAAGACACCCGAGAACGTGAAGGAGTTGCAGCAGTTCCTAGGCTTCGCTAATTACTACAACACGTTCGTGCCACAGTATGCAAAAATCGCAGCACCACTCACGAATCTGCTGAAGAAGAACACGCCCTACAAATGGGAACCAAAGCACCAGGAAGCCGTGGAGCAGCTGAAACAAGCACTCACGTCCGCACCGGTACTCATCTTGCCAGATCCCGAACGCGACTACGTAATCGAAGCTGACGCCAGCGACCAGGCAGTGGGTGCAGTCTTGATGCAAGACCAAGGGAATGGACTGCAACCAATTGCCTACCTCAGCAAGAAACTGCACGGGGCAAAACTCAACTACCCGATACACGACAAAGAGGCTCTTGCTATCATCATCGCCTTCAAAGCGTGGAGATGCTATCTCGAAGGACGAAGAACAACCGTCTACACCGACCACTGCAGCCTCTTCCTGTCCCAGAACAACCATGGCAAGTGGTTAGCCTAGACTTCATCACCGGGTTACCACCTACCTCCAGCGGTCATGACGCCATCCTTGTCGTCATTGACAAGTTCTCCAAAATGGGACACTTCATCCCGACACACACGACGGCACGCACCGAGGAGACAGCACAGCTCTTCGTTCGTCACATCATCTCACAGCATGGCATCCCAACTACACTCATTTCCGACCGAGACCCCAAGTTCACCAGCAAGTTCTGGAAGGAACTTATGTCTCTTCTCGGGACCAAACTCGCCATGTCATCCGCATACCATCCGCAGACAGACGGACAGACCGAGCGCCTCAACCAAATTGTTGAGCAACTCCTCCGAGCAGCCTGCAAGGACGACATCTCCAAATGGGACTTGCACCTGCCCGTACTCGAGTTTGCTTACAACAATGCTACACATGCCGCTACTGGACAGACGCCGTTCTTCCTCTGCTACGGACGCCACCCACTCACACCACAAAAACCGACAGCATCAGCTACAGTCCAACCCGCACATGATTTCATTACAACCATGCACCAGCTTTGGGATCGGACCCACAAGCGCCTACTCGACATTCAGCAGCAACAAAAGCGCCAGGCCGATCGCCATCGCAACGATCACACCGTCACGGTGGGAGACTAGGTGCTCCTCGACACCCGCAACCTGGACATCAGCCATCTCCCATCTAAACTTCGACCTCGCTTCTGCGGGCCTTTTCTCGTTGAAGCACAAGTCACTCCTGTCACCTTCCGCTTACGCCTGCCAGCTACCTGGAAGATTCACAATGCCTTCCATGTCCAACTTCTGAAGCCCTATCGAGATCCTAACACGATCTTCGTGGGACGCCAGCCGCCGCCGCCGCCGCCCGTCCTCGTCCAGAACGAACCCGAGTACGAGGTCGAGTCCGTGCTTGCACATCGTCATCGTCAGAATGGCACCGTGGAGCTTCTCATCCGTTGGAAGGGTTATGATCCTTCTGAGGACAGCTGGGTACCTGAGTCCGACATGGGTAACGCCCGTCGTGCTCTGCATGACTACCTTGTCAAGCAGGGTGTTACTTCTACCACCCAGCTTTGAGGGGGGGAAGTGTGAGAGTACGACCCCGTTACACCACTTGGCCTTTTCTTATTTCCTTCCCTTTTCATTCCTCTTTTTACCGCATCTCATTTGGTTTCCTATTCTTCCTTTTCCATTACCCTTTGGTTTATCCTGCTATTATAAGTATATCACCGACCAGGCTTGGGATGTATTGGTGCGCTATATCTAGCGTAATCCTGCCGTAATCCCTTAAAGCCAATAGCCTCGCGTGGCTATACGCAGGGTGATTCTATCTTCTAAAAGGGTCTATTTCTTTAGGATAAGATAAACCTGGTTACCTGATGTACTCTGGAAGTATAAAAGCGCCTTGTACTGATCGATAGTGCAACTTTTCCTCGACACATTCGATCCTGTGACACTCACAGGGCTACTCCTTTTGCCTTGGTGTAGGCGCTATCTCATGGAGGTCCACCCGTTCATCGTCTATTGCCCAGTCTAGCTGTGAGGCTGAGATCTACATCGGTGCCATGGCGGCATAGGAGCTCTACTGGCTGACTTTCTTGCTCACAGGCTTAGGTGAGCGGCCTAGCTCTGCCCCGGTCCTGTACGCTGACAACTTGGCCATGATCCTCCTATGTGAGGAGCCTCGACTGGAGGGCAGAGCGAAGCACATCCAGCTGCGGTACTTCCTCCTGCGCGAGCTACAGCAGCACCACCAGGCCCGCGTAGTACACTTGGCCTCTGGTGCCAACACAGCTGATATCTTTACGAAGGCGCTTGCGCCTAAAGATCATCAGCGGCACTGTGTAAACCATGGTCTGGTTCCTGTAGCTACTCAGTCGCTAGGACTTTGATTGTGTACTTCTCATTATATTTTCTTGACTGGCCTTGTGGCTCTTGTTCTAGAGGCTGGACTAGTAGTGCCGCCCTTCTTGCTCTTGTTTAGTGTGTACTCTTGCTGATTAGTCTTCGGACCCTTGCCTCAAATGTTGGACTAGTAGTGCCACCCTGAGCTGCACGTCTCTTGCCCGGCACTGCCCCTCATCTAGCCTAGGGGGTGTGTCAAACATATACTTTATATGTTATTTTGGGCTAGATATGTGCGTACTCTTAGAGAGTACAACCCCTTAGCACAAAACCACCGTGTATCTCACATTCTCATCACTTCACTACTTTGATAACGCCCGTGTGCAATCCTGAAGCGAGTGGGGTTTCTGATTTGCGTGGCGGGGAAGGTATTCAAGTGAGTTCGCCTTGGTTGATTCTGTGGATGGGTGTGGGCATTCTGCCGGCACTCTGATTCCGCCAGGCTCGACACAGAATCACTAGGTTTTTTTTTTTTTTTTTTTACTGCCCAGACAATTTCGGTGATTTACCGCCTGCTGGCTAAGAATTCCCTCAACAGAATCACCTACTCGCAGAATGAGGCCAACAGGGGACAAACGACGAGATCGTATGGAGTACAAACGTGCATGTCCGTACTCAAATACGAGTTCCTCCTGTCAAGTTTGACATCCCATCCCGCCACGAACACCTTGTAACACCGTTACCGCGAGGCAAGAATCACTTCTTCATCAAGGTGTATGACGAAATTGTTTGCAAATTTAGTACTCGCATAGGCTGTGTTCTTACTGCGCGCACGTTTTCCGTACTGGGGCTCGCTTCAGCAAGTACACGCGAACCCTTCGGGCCCGCAGCCTCGGCCCTCGGTTCTCGCACCAAACCAGCCCCCGCCGACCTATTCGGCCCCCAACCTGATCCCAAGTCGCCCCTAACCCATTTCGCCCACATCACCCTCGAGACTCTCGAGCCCTTGACTGGTCCAACCCTCGACATTCAACCCTGGTCAATCGTCCAATATATTCCCTGGGCCTCATTTCTATCATAACTCTGTTATCACGTTCCCCCTATTGAATGCTGCGCTATTCTCTAAGTTATAATTCATAAAATCTGGTATCATAGCTACGTTCCTGCCCATTAGATTTCCGGTAGGGGAGCAGACCCTATCGAGGAAGGGGGCGGAAGGATGCTGGTAGCGTAGCACTTCCGATGCCGTCGGATCCTGTCCGATGGACAGCTGGGATTTAGCCGGTCCTCCCCTTCCTCGGTCGTAGACGGAATTATCTTCCGTCGTGAGTGTGGCTATGTTTTCGCAGTACTTTTATGATATGTTCATTAGAGCTTTCGTAATTTTTGGGTGTTCTGACGGAGTCTTCGAATTGGCTTCCGAAAAAAGCAAAGGCTTCATTACGAGGAGACAAGTGCACGGGAGTCCTCAGGCGGCCGGGATTTGATTGTCAGGAGCACGCGGGGTAGCGAAATTGGCGGGACGTACGGCGATGTACGTCTGGCACGCCATGCAGCGGCAGGGTGTACTGTAGCTGCATTGCATGTTGTACCGGCGTTTTCGGTAGGCTAGTTGAAAGCAATGTACGGGACTTCAAAACTGTTTCGGCAATGGGCGGATTGGACAATTTCGGAACGACACGATCGCACGGGGCATGTGCAGTTATATGGGGGGCTTACTTCGATTTCCCTCACATTATGGCTAGAGCTCTTTTCAGGTTGGCTCACTTTAATAATCTAGGCTTGAGTACAGCTGAAGTTTGTTGCGCACTGTTGTGGCAGTTACAACCCCTCAGGCGTTACATCCAGCCCTTGACACACGTTGGCGCATGTTCGTGCCAAATTGCGTCAGCAACAGATTCAAATCGTTCCGCGTTCCCCTCCGCAATTTCCGTGCAAACTCAGGGATTGGTTGGACTTCAGATTGGATTTTTACGTAGTCGTCGGATCCGGGTTCCATACCCAAGCCACCTATTGAAATTCGTTTTTGGTCAAAATAGACTCGTCAGTGCCCATTTTCGGCCAAAATCGGCAAAAATCTACACTTGCAACCCCTTTCCAAGCCGAAATTATCCCGATACCAACAGGCTCCGAGATCACTGAATTGGTCAAAAGGGAGTTTCGGGCCAGACAGCCTGTGAAAGTATCAAATAATCGGAACATTACCCATAAACAATATGCCTTTGGTTCTGACCGCCCCTTGCTGAAATGAGTCCATGCCACCCCTCCAATCGAATCTGCTACGGACGCAAATTTGCGCGAACAGCGCCATCTTGCGTCAAGGGCGGGATGTAACGCCGATGGGTTCTAACCGCCACAACATTGCGCGACAAAGTTCTGCTGTACTCTAGCATAAATTACAAATGTGAGCCAACCTGAATAGGGCTCCATCCATAATGGGAGGGAAATCGAAGTTGGCCCTTGTGTGGAAGTAGTTGGGATTAACGACCTCGGCGCTATTCACATGCGATGGCCATCTGGAGGTGATGATGCTGTGCTAGAGTAAGTGTACTCAGCGACGGTGACTTCCTGCATGGGGAGGCGTTTTTGTGGACCAACGATTCATACCCCCACGATCAACGGAAATGGAGGCCACCACCCTTGGGTGTGTATCAAGTTATTTTCCACTGGTCGTCAAAAGCGTTAACTGCCAGGAGCTGAAACAGGGGAAGAAGAATGACGGCAGTAATGGAGCATAGTTAAGGGTTAGCGGCGCTCGGATTGCTGCTTGCTCAGCTACGTCGCCCGAATATCACCATCCCCACTAGGTAGCAGTGTCGACTTATTAATCGATGGCTTCTTGATGAATAAGGGGGGTAAACCTGCGAACTACACTGTGCTGATGGAGTGTCCGTGAAATTACAGGTGTTACTGTTGCCGTGGAGCTGAGGGTTTCACCTAGTGCAGCAGAAGGCATTTCCAGATTTTTTTAGTATAGTTCGACGAGTTTCCGACGGAGGAGGGAGCTGTCCAGCGGTCAATAGGTGAGCCCGTTGAAGCTCCTCTGACTAGAAGCATGCGCACTCCTGTCTCTACGGATTCTCTTAGTAAGTTAAGCATCAGCGAAGCAGATTTGGGGTAACCTGCAGTAGCCGTGAGATGGGTGAACGTATGACGGCCAGCTAGTCAGGGGTATCGAAGAATTTATGGAGTCGGGTAACAGCTGGGTGGGGATCAACGGTGAATGATGTGCGTTGACCCTGATCGACGGCCAAAACATCATGCCGAGGCGGTGGATTCAGGTGTTCCCTAAAATAAAGGGCTCAGTTCATGCGTACAGCTGGTGGAGCAACCGTGGGGGCATTGCTAAAAGACGACGTGACGCCTGGGTGTTTTTATGGGTAGCTGTGAAGCAGTGTCGCAGTCTTGGTTAAGTATCGATGGAGTTCCGACATTTTTGCTGGAGCCGTTCATGAAATTACAGCTGGAGCAGTACCCGCTATCACCAGGGGTACGAGCAACATCGACATAATTTTGCGGAGTATTCTGGGTACATGGAGCAGTGGGAGAGCAGTAGCTGTTTCGGCTCTTCCCGAATATTTCGTCGTGTACGACAAAGTAGCTGTTGCAGCTGGCGGCATGTGACCCTAATTTCGGCCCGAGGTCATTTGTTGAAGTGGTTTAGTACGGGTTATTTTCCATCACCATCGTCGCCACCACTTGCTACGCCTCCATTGACAATTCACCTATTTCACCTGCCTGTGTGAACACGACCCCGAACCGACCATTGCCACCCATAAGGAGCAGTATCGGATCGAGAAGTTTTGGCAGCTGGGATCATGTGCAACTGTTGGAGCTGTGTTGGTCTCAGAGTAACGAATTGGGTAGAATGAGAAATACCGGTTGGTTTTGTGCTAACAGGTTGTACTCTCTAAGAGTACGCAACAGAGCCTGAGCTAGGTTTTTTGGTAGCTCAAACGATTTGGGCCCCTCTGAAAAATCCCCTGTAAAACCTGAGCCGAACCGAAAATTGCTTGGATGAATCAAGATCCGAGCCAAAAAAGGCCTAAGCGTCACCAATTTTCGCGAGGGGCAAAAATTTTCCCACGCCATTACTTCGGTAGGGCTATCGGGTTTGGCCTTGCTCCTACGGCGCCACGGCCGTGGAGAAGAGGAGGGAGAAGGGTGACTCACATACCTAAGAGAGTGACTCAATCTGTAAGTGATACAGAATGACATAACCCCGGCTTCCAGCAAGGGGGGCTCCCGAATGTACTAGGCTTTCAGAGGTGTGGGGCGAGATTTGGGGGAGGGAATTCGGGAGGGCAGCAAGTTGGGGCGGGGACAAATTTTGAGGCCAAAAAAGGTGTGGGGTGGGGGAGACGGTTGATGGGGGGGGAGGTGGGGGGGGGAGGTGGGGGTGGTGGGGGAGACAGGAGTAAGGAAAAAGGTCCAGGCCGCCCTGGAATTCCCCCCGATCAGTTCAGGTTCCGCGAAATTTCCCCCTGTGTAGGTCCACGCTGGGTGTTAAAAAACCTATATGAAATACGGGCTACTCCTAAGAAAACCTTCGATTTTCAGTCAAGACAGGGCGATTACCCTGTTATTTCAGCCCTGGTACGCACCTATCTAGCCTATAATAACATATAAATATATCTTTGACACACCCTAGGCTAGATGAGGGGCAGTGCTGGGAAGGAGACATGCAGCTCAGGGTGGCACTACTAGTCCAACCTCTGAGGCAAGGGTCCGAAGACCAGTCAGCAAGAGGACAAACTAAACAAGAGTAACCCAGGGCGGCAATACTAGTCCAG